GGGATGCCTTTGGAGTTTATATTTTGTTCCTGGCGAGCAAAGTGCTTTATCTCTTTCTCTGCTTCTTGGCTGTCATATCTTGAGCTGTTTTCTTTCACCATGCCCTCCACCATGATATTCTACTTCACATTGAGTCCAGAGATATGAAGTCAGCTGACCACGGACTTGAATCTCTGAAACTGTAAGTCAAAATAAACTTCATCCTCTAAGTTGTTCTTGTCAGGTCTTTTGGTCACTGCAACAAAAAGCTAACTAACACATATCTGTATCTATTGAAATAATTACTTATATAAATAAAAATCTATATACAAAGAAACTATAAGCCCAGAATTAGTCTTAGTGTTTCAGCAAGAAAGCAACCAATTTTTTGATACTTATATAACTTTAACAATACAATCTGGTAAGTACTACACAATATATAAGCACAAAAAACCTTAAACATATATCAAATCAAATTCAGTGGCATATGAAAAAAGGGTTATTCCTTCTTGTTCGTTTGGTTTTTTTTGCGGGATTCCAGGTTTTTTTCGGCTTTTAATTCACTTAATTTACTTCTTTTGAAGGATTGAAAAAACATATGATCATTCTAATAAGTGAAGAAAAAGTATTTGACAAAAATCAACACATTGTTATTTTTCATATGACTATTGCTAATACACTAAGAATAGAAAGAACTTGTGTAATCTGTTAAAGAGGTTTCTATAAACTTAATAGAGAAACATTGGAAGTGGGTTTTTCTTTTGAGATTGAGAATAAAATAAAAATACTCATTACCTCTTCCATTCTACGCTAAACTAGAGGTCTTAACAAGTGTAATGAAACAATAACAACAAATATAAAAAGATGCAAAGTGTTAAAAGACTGAAAAGGAAGACAAAAAACCTAATCTTATTTTATAACCATGTTTCTTAAAAAGAAATTGTGAAAATCCAAAAAAAAAGAATTAATCAATAAACTGAGAATTATTAAATAAATTTAATAAATCTATAAATGTAAGAGCCATTAAAAATTATATTTGTGAATATAACAAACAATTAGAAAATGAAATAGGAAAAAGATTTTATTTACAATCATAATAAATGGTATCAAACACTTAGAAATAAATCTAAATAAATTATACAAAATCTTACTATAGAAATTACTAGAGAAATTAAAGAAAATCAAAATAGTGATGAGCATGAACAATGTTCATGGATTTAGAGCTTTAATACTGGAAAGTTGTATATTTTGTCCAAATGTGTCTAAAAATTCATTGCAATTCCATCTAGAATACCAGTAGGAAATTTTTGTGCAAATTAACAGGATGATTTCTAAGTTAAAATGATAGTGTCAAGAGGAACAAGTGTGAATTTGAAAAACAACAAAACCAAGTATTGGTTACAAGATTAAGCAATTAAAACTGCTAATGAAACTTGTGTACTACATGCAGATACACAGTTAACTTGTAGTGTTTGTCAGTGTTGGATTTCAATGAGCTGAGTGAATAAGTCAAATTAAAACCCTGAGTTATCCAAAGGAAGCCAATCTCTAAACTAAATCTTTAAGACCATAGAACCCCATGTAATGTGTATAGCAAAAATTCTCATCATATCTCAATAACTAGCAGGGACAGTTAATTTGTTCCATGTACTTTTCCTTTCTCATTAGGGTCATAAATAGATAAAATTGGGGTTGGGGGAATAGTGGGCAACAATAACAGACTGTTATTATCTGAAAAAGTAAAAAGTTGAACCCATACCCTTCTGTTTATATTCTAATAGAGTGGAAAATGTCTTTAAAAAACTAGTGCAGAACTGTGGAGGGGAATTTTGATTTAAATGATAGACCTCTACTTCAAACCAAAATGATTTCTTTGTCTCTTTAATTCAAAAGTCCACAGGTAGATTTTGCTTTGGTGGAGGTCGAATACAGGTAACTTAAATAGTGCAACCAAGACCCAGCTTCTCTCATGACCATTTCCTCTACGATCAGAAGAATGGCAGAAGCTTCCTGGACATCATTTGTGAAAACTTTTGATTTCTCATCCAGTGAGAACACATTAATCTTTGTCCTGCAAGATCTTTTCCCTGCCAAGACCTCATGGAATTTCTTTTGCTCTCAATATGTCACACCCACTTTGGAACCAAACACATTTCCTAGGGAAATGCATTGATTTGAGTAATTTAGTCATAAGGCTACGTGTTTCATAGCTGAGCTAGGGAGATGATGGAAAACAAGGGTGACCCTCCAGAGGAATATTGGGGTGTCATCACTTAAGAAAAGGCTGAGTAGATTCCAGGAGGCAAAATATCCTCTAGGGCAAAATACACTTGGGATGGTGACTGACGGAGAAATTATATGAATTTAAACTTGTTTTTTGTCTATTAATGTTAAAAACCAGGTTGCTGATAAGGATTAAATACTTGTGCCTTCCCCCAAATTTGTGTTGAATCCTAATTCTCACTGGGATGCCATCTGGAGGTGAGAATTTGGAGAGGTATTTAGATCTTGGTGGTGGAGACTTCATGAATTGAATTAGCATCCTTATTGTCTAGAAGAGACACAGAGAGATAATTTCTCATCTGTGTGAGGACAAAGCAGGTGGCCATTTGCAAACCAGGGAAAGGGTCTTTGCCAACAAGGAAGCTGGCATCTTGATCTTGGACTTCCCAGTCCTCCGAACTGTGAGAAATACACAACTGTTACTTTAGTCACTCAACTCTCACTTTTGGAAAAAGTAAGGTGTTGAGGGCCACAACTGAGTCGGGATGACATATGACATTTTTGCCAGAAGTAGTGGTTGAGAGGTGACACCAGTGAGCCATTAAGATGATGACTTTTGAGTTCTCGTGGAGTTCCCGTTGAGTTCCGGTTGAGCTCTGGCAGGGATTCCTGAAGAGTTCGCATTGGTTGGAGAGATGCTGGAGGAGGGATTTCCGGTTGGTGGTTCCTGGAGGAGACATGTGGCGTTCGGGAGAGTTCCCGGGGAGCGTGTGTGGAGTGTGCTGGTGGAGTTCAGAAATAAAGTTTGTTCCTCTTGAGTGGCTCGTGATTTGTGCCCAGCCAGACTGCAACAGTAAGGATATAATGAGGTAGAAAAAGGTTGCCCCTGAGCCCATGTTTTCAAGTTTTCTGTGGCTATTTGAGGAGCATGTTTGTTTATATTACTCTAGAAACATAGAATGAGTGCTCAGGATACTTGATGGCAGCTGCCACTGCAGAAGGACCATCTTGGACTGAAGAAGCTGTGTCTTTTTTAATCCTTTCTTTCTATTCCTTGTTTTAAATAACGTTCCTGACAAAATTCTGCTTTTCTTTCTGTCATCTGTCAGGGAACAGGTATTGGGAATTATTTGTGGGGTTGTAAATACATTACATGAAAAAATAATGAGTCCTTAAAAAAGTCAAGAGAAATGCCTCCAGAGACGTTTACCTAACCGTGATTTATGAAGGTCCGGGAATGAAGTTTCAGAAACTTCCAAAATGAAAAGTCTGCAACATAAAATAAAGTCTCTTCCAAATCTGCCTTTGTTGCCCCTGGACACATTTCCCTTTTACTTTTAATATGGAAGTTGGAGAACGTTTTTCATGATCAAGTTAAATTGTTTAGTTAATGGTCTAAGAATAACTCTCAGGCGCATCCCTGGGCACAGCATGCTATTACTCCATTCTTCTGACTGAATTTGATGTATCTATTGTGTTCTTGCTGCATAAACTGATCCCTGGGATTAATCATTTTCTTTTTTACCAGCTAAAAATTGTAGACATTTAATGGATATGCCTACATCAGTCAATTTAATGAGTGTCATTGTCTGGGGCTCGAAATAAACTGATTGTTCTAATGCTAAAATATAATCAAAGTTCATCCTTATTCCAAATTTCCCAAGTTTGTCTCTTCTGCCTGCCTGAAGAGGGTAATTTAGTCTAAGATTTTTTTTTTTTAATTTGGTTCTTTGGGGCCTGGGTACTTATGTACATCTCCTGGATGATACATGGAAGGGGTTAAGTCATCCTGCATCATTTACTGCAACTCAATTTATGTTTTTTGAATGGAATATTTTGCCATCTTAGTAAGAATCACTGCATGGCAAAATCATGCTGGTTAGTACTACCTGGGGTAACTCTTGTAGCCTCACAGTTGAAAAAAATGGGATGTGGCCATGCCTGTGGCCTGTGTCACCTGGTAGAGAGAGAACCAGGTAAGTCAACTGACCTGACAGAATTGGTGGGGACCACAGGCCCCAGAGAGGCTGATCACATTGAATGGCTTTCCAGATGATGGAGAACCACTGGCTCATCAAACACAGTTCCCAGAATTTCAGTGGACGGAAGCCTGAGTGATAATTAATTTTTGGTTTCTGTTTTATTTTCAGTTGTTTGAATTCATGAACTTTTTGGCCGAGAACGTCATCTTCTGTTACATGGGCCTGGCGTTGTTCACTTTCCAGAACCACATCTTTAATGCTCTTTTTATACTTGGAGCCTTTGTATCCTTTGAAATACAAAACATGGGGTGATGAGAGAAGAGAGCCTACTAGTGACTTTTAAATGTACGACCTCGGTTTCCCTGTGAGGCTCAGACTCAGGCAGATAATGCCATTTCCAGTCAGGAGAGAAAAACATCGTAACAAATTGGGGACATCATTAGATACCTGTAGTTCAGGATAAGACATTTGGAAAATACTGAGGGAAATAAGAGGGAACACTAAAGGAGAGTGACATTTTTAAAGTATTCCAAGGATGTTTAGCTAAAAATTTATAAATCATTTACATAAAAATTATGTCAAGACATTTCTTATGGGAAATGTATTTAATTTGGAATTCGTACATCAAAAGGCAAGCAGGATTATTAAGCTTTGGAGATGTTTTCATTGCAAGATGGTAAAATTATTTTTTCAATGATGGCCTTGGAACTAACATACAGTGAGGAACTGATGAAATTTGCATGATAGATATACTCTCAACATTATAAATATTGTGCACATGTAAAATTGTTTCAGTAAGAAAGCATCTTTGCTTTCCTAAGAGGACAGATAAAATCTAGACTTCACCTTCAATGCAGAGGACTTTCATATCCATAGGCCTGGGGCAGGAAGCATCCCCAATGGGAACAGATATCTGCCTAAAGGGACACTGAGCCACCAGGAATGTCCCCAGGCATGGTTAGCAGCTGCTGTCCTTCTTCCTATGTGGAAAATGAGAGGATACCTTCTTGTGGCACTGGTAGATCATCTTCACAGCCAGGAGAGCTGACCCTTCTTTTAAAGCTATCCTAACTAAGCACCTGCACTTACCATCTCCTCCTCCTTTCATTGAGCATTCAGCTGAACTTTCAAATTAGCCTATCGTGCTAATTTCATCAGATTCTTACTCTGTCTGATTTCTCAAATTTTATTCAAAACCAGGATCTAAGGAGAAAGTTCCCTCTTCCCAAATAATGTTACTCCATTGAGAACAAACCACAACAGACCATCAGGAATGGAGTCAAAGTCAGCAAAAAAAAAAAAAAAAAAGAGATGGATACACCAGTATTTTCATAGATTTTTTTACTTCTACAACCTTGATTTTAATAAAATGCCTCTTAAAGCGGCAGTTGTATCACATATTTAGACAGACAATTCCTCTCAAAATTAAATCCACTAAGAAAGAAAAAGGGAAGCAAAACTGGCTAGATACGAGTGTATAAACTGATGGAAAGTGAGATGCGAATCATGAGCAGAAAAGTGCATTTGTCCTTTCTAAAGCGCTGCTTGAGAAGATAATGCCAGGAACAGTCACTGCCTCACATTTCACAGCAGAATTGAGGATGGAGCCAGTCATTGGCACCATAAATGTGATGAGAAAATTCACAGTGATTGAAATGGTATGGGGCAAACAATTTTAAATCACGTATGTATTCAAAGAAAGGCAGAGTTCTCTATGATTTCTGGAAAGGAATTGACATGGAGAGATGACTTCTGGAAGCAAGATGGACAGGTAGGCATTGACATGTTTATCTTTGTTTTCTGGGTCGTAATATAGAGCAGCTTAAGGACACAATATTTAAGCTGAGAGTCAACCCCTCGTCACAGTGACATTTTCCTCAATGTGTCCTTGTGCTTGTCTACAGCTCGCAATTTTTGTTGCTAGAGCCTGCAACATATATCCCCTCTCCTTCCTCCTCAATCTGGGCCGAAAGCAGAGGATCCCCTGGAACTTTCAGCACATGATGATGTTTTCAGGTATGTGAACTGCATTGTGCTCACACAGTATTACACAACAAGGGGACACCACGAGGAGCCCGAGAGACCCATTGTACCCAGCACCATGCTGGTACTTCCTCAGGGTGACAGCAGGATTTCCCTTTCCAAACAGGAAATGCCATTGAAGAGAACTCATTGATATATAGCATCTTGTCAGAAATAGGCCAAAGGTGGCTATTTCACTTTCCCCTGACCTGTTTCAAATCAGCTTCCACACGGAGGAAATTGAATTATCTTTTTGGGAACAGCATGATTAGGGTAAGTGGTGAGTGACCAGTGTCATCCTCATCCAATGTTAAAGTTACTTCTTAGAATCCCTGCTCCTTCCCCATACTGGGGTCCAGAAACTTCTCGTAGTGACCACAAAAGCAAATTGGATCTAAGTGTGCTCTGTTATGAGTTGAGAAAAATAGATGTGAACTGAGCACTGGGCAGATGCCCAACAGGAGTTCCGGGCTCTGGTTGATGAACCGGCGAGATCTCTGCTCCCAAGGAGCTTATGTTGTAATCACTGAAACCACACCCAAAGGCTCCTTCCAAAAGAGCACAAGATGATTCTTTTGACTGCTGAACAACTCTGGAGATTGAGGTTTCTTTCTATCCAATATGTTTTCCACCCATCAATCTTCTTTGGGTACATAGTTCCTAGACCCTACATGTGTTCTAGGTACATTTGTAGCACACACAGCAGCAGTTTATTGAAGGATATACAAAACCAGAAAAGAAAACTCCTATCAGAATAGTACAAACAAATAGAATTGGGGGCACCCAGGGGCATATGGAAAAAGTGAGAGAAACTGACACTAATATTTGCTATTTGTTGCTCACTGTTATCAATCCTGCGAAACAAGTATTAATACATTTAGTTGATGAGAAAACAGAGGTTCAGGATCTCCAAGGGGTCAAGTAGCTTGGTCAAGGAGAAAAGCACTCCTGAACCTATATCTGTGAGACTCCCACCTCTAACCCTACCAACTACCTAAAAATTCACATTCTTAAAAGTAGTACCAACAACAAAAGGTTTATTTCACCTTCAGGTCTATTCTAGCTTCTTCCACACAGTCAAAGGGAGCAACTCCTAGATGGAGAATGAATTGTTCAATCATGTAGAGACAAATGAAGATCCAAGGTTAAAGAGTACCCTCTGAGGTTTCTGGCAGGGCTTCCTGATATTTCCAGACATGGTAGGGTGAGAGAGACAAGCATAAAGAATGTGATGTGTTTGCTAAGTGAACTTTGGCAATGAGTGGACTTTTATTATGGAAAGCAAGAGGTAAATTTGATCAGTTAACAAATAGGAGGCTAAGATCAGGTTGCATTTTTGCAAAGCATTACTAGGATCTGGAAAGCATTCATCCTTTTTTTTCCCATCAAAATATCTATAGTTTTACTCTGGAGCACAGCAGTTTATTTTCAAAACTTGGATATTATTTTCAACATTGCTCTTTTTTTGACAATGATGTTTTGAGAATAATGTGAGGTTTTTGATGATCATGTTGGGAGGCAAAGTGTCTGCTCAAATGGCCACCTGGCTTGATCATTTCTCTGGGCTTTGGCACCTTCTAAGTTTGCTTAGCTGTAGGATTAGAACTTCAGTAAAAACAGATAGAAGTCAGCAGTATGGTGAGTACAGCCAAGGGTTGTGAGAAGAGACCCATAATTTAATGAGGGATTTATGATATTTCAAAGCAGGAGTTAGCAAACTATGAGACCCAATCCGATCTATGCTTATTTTGTTTATGAAGTTGTAGTTTAGCTACATCCCTTTGTTTACATAGTGCCTGAAACTATTTTTGCATTTTAGGAGGAAAGTTGAGTAGTTGCACCACAGACTGCATGGTTTGCAAGACCTAAACGATTTACTCTCTGCCCCTACTCTAAAGCATTCTCACCCTCCAGAAGGAAAACAATAACACCCCTCACATCAATGGGGTGGACATTACTAGTTTAATCCATGGGAATGCCAATCAGCTAATTCTCATCATTAAAAAGACCAGCATATCCAGTTTTCAGGACATGTACCTGCATGTGACATTGATGTCCAGAGAATACCACCATTGTGTTGCACATTGAGCATCCTTGTCATCCACCAGACATTGAGTCACTGTTAGTAATTTATCAGCTTAAATGCAAGGGTCGCAGTCACCATGGGTTAAAGTGGGCCTCTTTCTATGTATTTGACTAGATTTTTGTCGCATACACTTTTCACATTAAAATAAATCTGAACAACAAAGAGATTGGTTTCTTCAGATTTTTAACAGTCATCTTATTATATGTTAATAATATTGATAGTATTCCTTGGTAGGGTAGAAAGAACATTGGAATTTCCATTAAACAGCTGTCATAGCTTTTATGGGAGGACATTGCAATGTTAGCTAGTTACGTAATAGAACCAGAGATGCTATAACTCAACAGTCAATTTTACCTTCCCAGGAGCTTACAAGGACACCAGTTTGAGACTCAAGAGTACACAGTAGGATGGGTGTTAGTGTTGTCTCTCTCTTTCAAAAATTTTTTATTGTGGTTACAACACGCATAACAAAATTTACCATCTTAACCGTTTGTAGGTGTGCAGTTCAGTGTCAATAAAAATTTTTTATTGTGGTTACAACATGCATAACAAAATTTACCATCTTAATCATTTGTAGGTGTGCAGTTCAGTGTCAATACATTCATACAGTTGTGTGGCCACCACCACCACCATCTCCATACTCTCTCCATCTCCTAAAACGGAAGCTCTGTACCCCTTAAACAATAACTCTTCACTCTCCCTCCTTTCGCTCCTTGGCAACCACCTTTCTCTTTTCCATCTCTGATTTTGACTATGCTAGCTGCCTCATTTAAGTGGAATCTTATAATATTTGTCTTTTTGTGACAGGCTTATTATTATGTCCTCAAAGGTTATCTATGTTGTACCAGATTATAGAGTTTCTTTCCTTTTAGAGACCAATATTCCTGCATATGTATCTAACATACCCTGCCAGTCCATTCATCCATCAACAGATGGTAGGGTGACTTCCATGTTTTAGCTCTTGTTAAACCTGCCGCAGTGAATATGAGTGTACACATGCCTCTTTAAGACTTGCTGTTGGTTCATTTTGATGTACATCCAGAGGTAGAACTGCTGAGCCGTGTAGTGATTCTATTGATTCTATCCATTCCTACTGTGTTCCAAGGTGGCTGGACCATTTGGCATTTCTACCAACCATGCACAAGTATTCTAATGGCTCCACATCCTCACCATTTATCTTCTGGTATTTTTTTCTCTTTTTTAATAGTAGCCATACTAGTGGGTATGAGATGATAGCTTGCAGTTTCCATTTGCATTGCCTCAATTGTTAGTCATATTAAGCAGCTTTTCATGAGATTTTTGGCCATTTGTATATCTTCTTTGGAGAAATGTCATTCAAGTTTTTTTTTTGCCCATTTTAAAATCATGTCTTTTGTCATTTCATGTTGAATTTTAGACTTTCTCTGTTGCCTGGAAACTAACCCTTTATCAGAAAGGTCACTTACAAATATTGCCTCCCAGTTCCATTTGTTGCTGTTTTTACGTGTTTGTATTGTCTTTTGATATTCAGCAGTTTTACAATTTTCATGAAGTCTGATTTGTGTGTCTTTCTTTTGTTACCTGTGCCTTTGGTGTCATATTCAATAAACTATTGCAAAATCCAATACTGTGGGCCAGGTTCAGGGTGCGGACCTCTAATCCCACCACTAGAGAGGCTGAGGCAGGAGGATCCTTTCAGTTCAGGAGTTTAAGATCAGCCTGGGCAACATAGTGAGGACCTGTTTTAAAAAAAAAAAAAATCCAATGTTGTGATGTTTTTTACCCTATGCTTCTTCTCATAATTGTATAGTTTAGCTTTTACTAAGGTCTTTAGTTCATTTTGAGTTGAGTTTTATATATGGTGTAAGGTAGGGATCCAATTTGACACTTTTTTTTAAATTTGTTTTTAGTTATAGGTGGACACAATATCTTTATTTTATTTTATTTTTTTACATGGTGCTGAGGATCAAACCCACTGCCTCATGCATACTAGGCATGCACTCTACCTCTGAGCCACAATCCCAGCCCCCAGTTTGATTCGTTTGCATGTGGTTATTCAGTTTTTCCAGAATCGTTTGTTGTAAAGACTGTCATTTCCTCATGATTGGTCTTGGCAACCTTGTCAAAAATTATTTTGCCATATATGTGAGGGTTTATTTCTGTTCTCTCTACTCTACTCCACATCACCAGTGCCTTTGTCATTTATATGTCTCTCTTTCTGCTAGGGCCACACTGTTTGACTGCTGTAGGTTTGCAGCAAGGTTTGAAACCCGAGTTCTCTAGCTCTGTTCATCTTTTTTTTCAAGATTGTTTTGGTTACTGGAGATCCCTTGAGATTCTATATGAATTTTCTATTTTTTTAATTTTTAAATTTGTTTTAATTGTTTAATGTTTACATGAAAGTAGAATGCATTTATGCACTTTGATATATTATACATAGATGGGGTACAATTTCTCATTTTTCTGATTGTACATATTACAAAATCACATTGGTCTGCAGTCATATATATACATAAAGTAATAATGTTTAATTCTACTAACCTCCTTATGCCCATATCCCCTCCCTTCCCCTCCCTTCACTCCCCTCTACCTAATCTAAGGTAATAATATTCTTCCCTAGTGCCCCCACACCCATTGTGAATTAGCAGCCACATATTGGAGAAAACATTCGGCCTTATTTCGCTTGCGTGATATTCTCTGACTCCATCCATTTACCAGCAAATGCCATAATTTCATTCTTCTTTAAAGCTGAGTAATATTCCATTAAATATATATACCACATTTTCTTTATCCATTCATCTGTTGAAGGACGCCTAGGTTGGTTCCATAGATTAGCTATTGTGAATTGAGCTGCTGTAAACTCTGGCATGGCTGCATCACAGTAATATGCTGATTTTAAGTTATTTGGGTACAAATTGAGGAATAGGAT